CAGCCCTCTGGCCAGCAGTCACTCAATGGGAAATAGGAATTCGAGTGCCAGCATGAAAGAGGAGTGCAAGCTTAATGAGGTGGAGGTGAGCAGCTCTGGGAGCCCAGGCGAGCGTGTGCAGAGTTTGGGGAAACTGCCTGTTGTGTGGAAGGTGAATGCAAGGCTCCCAGCCCTGTCCTATGCCTCATGTCCCTCCATTTAATCATGTCTTCATTTACTGCATTCTTAGTGAGCAACTTCAGTTAATCCCAGAGGGTGCTGGGGTGTTCTGTGCCCCCTCACTCCCCTGCCTGTTCCCCTTTGTCTCCAGGCCTGCATATTGGACACGCTGGAGGCACAGGCAGCCTTCTTGACTGTTGTCTGCATGGAGAAGTTGAATGACATGGAAAAAAGTCTCAAACCTGTGAGTGATGCCCTCACTTGGCATGAGGAGGCAAGGTGGACTTTCCTGTACTTAGACAGACCCAAGTTCAAGTCCTGGCCCTAACCAGCCCTGTCTGTATTGCCCCAGGGAAACAGCCTCCCTTCTGGAAGCCTCAACTCTGACTCAGGGGAACCCAGGTCTCTTGAAGACATGAGTGGATCTGGGAAGACTTCTTGGAAGAGGTCTCTGAGCTGGGCATGGAAAGATGACCAGGAATGTGCAGGAACACAGATGATACAGTATGGGTATGATATGACAGGCCTCGCCTACTGGTCTGGGAGACTGTGAAAAATAACTCCCAAAGGAGTGACTCATCTGTCACAATCATTTATTCATTCATCAAACATGGGTACCCAAAAGGCCTCACTGAGTAATACCCCCAACCCTGCTGGGTGAAAGTGGGGCTAGAGGAGTCCAGAGGGAAGGACACTGAGAAGACATTGTGGAAGGAGGTGGAAGGGTGTTTCCAACAAAGGGATCTATTAAGTACAGAGGCTCTAAAGAAAGTGAAGTTCAGAGACTGCAGGCCTGATTTGCAGGGGACAGCAAGAGGATTGGGAGGCAGGAATAGCCTGAGCCCCTGACTAGGGTGGAGGCTCCACTCAGGCAAACATTGAGCTCCTGCCATTTATTGGCATTGTTGCATGCTGTGCAGCCAACTGCCTCCTCTTCCCAATGAGGAAATAGGCTGGGTTCAGAGCTGCTGGGGATGTTGCCGGGAGGACAACAGGGAGGAAGCTGAAGCAACTCTCTGAACCCCCCTCCACTCAATGTCTAGAGCTCTGTGCCCCAAGGTGTCATCAGATACCGTCATGGAGTGTGCAGTGGAGGACTGCATCATGCAGCTCATGCACACCAATGCTTAGCTGACAGATACTCTGCAGCCACCTCATATGTTAGTGGCCTGGGTCATTGTCCATGGGGTAAAAATCCTTACAACCTTCAGCTTGAACCTGGGATAGGACCAGAGTGGTGGATGTGCCCACTAATCTGGGAGGCGGGAGGCATAGGCCACTAGGACTGGGGTCAACATTTGTGAGTTGAAGGAGGTGGGATTATGTAACTTCCTATCTTGCTTTGTCTAGAAATTTCTGTAAGACTGTAGCCTGGCCATCATCTGCCCATAAGTAAGCTGGGCAGGAAGCGGAGAGATTCAGCAGGCAAGGGTGTGGGGTCTCCCTCCAGGACTCTAACTTCATGGCTTCCCCTGCAAGGTAAAAAGCCAGATGGCTGCCACTCCACAGCCTGCTACTGTGATTCTGGTTGAAATATAGCTGTTACTCTAGGAGGCAGCGGCTGGAAGAGTGAGAGCCCAGCTCCTATTGATCCCCAGTCCTCAGCATCTGTGTAACTTTAATGCAATTCTATGACACTCAGATGGAAAATTCTGCCGCATGATCAAGAATTTTACCCCACTGAGAATGATATTAAAATATAACATTGGACAAACCCTTTGGGGTTTGATTCATTTAACATGCCAGCAATTCAACACAATCAATATGCCAAAGGGGCATATTTGGGGGTGGCATGCCCTGAATTCCTTCATTTCGCCCATTGGAAACTTCCCTGGGAAGTTCATATAGTCAAAGCTGAATGGGTGATCATGGAGATAAATTCATGGCAGAAGTTGTGAGGTAAGAGATCTATAAAATGGGAAGAAAAACATAGATTGGAACAAGCATTAAAAAATGAATCTGGCTCGGCGCCTATAGCTCAACCGGCTA